GTAAAGAGTTTTCTAATATGTGTCTGGACTTTGGTTCGACTGCAACAGTGTCCCAGTCATCAAATGATACAGTGAAAGTAGCATCTTGAATGAGGGATTTTGAGTGTGTATCTGTCGATTTCTTTGGTGTCCTGCATGCTTTGAAAGGAAGTTCTTTAATACAAATGATACATGTTTGGGTAATATTTTCTCAGGTAGATGCTTATCTGTGTTTCTAACACAAAACTGACAGTACTTTCTCTGTGTGTGTACTCTGGTACACAGGAAATATTGCGTTTCCTAGATATTTCCTCTGCAAGAAAAATACAATCCCTGGGACTTGTTTTTGTGGTTTCAGGCTGTGTTGATCTTCGATGGTGTCAGAGGAAGATCTATTCCCTTTCGGTGCCCAAGGCTATCACCCAGCTGCCAATTCGACTGTATAAGTTTATTTGGAAGCTCTTGGCTCCTGATCTGATCAACATAGAAATTACATCTCCGTCCTTGAAACTTCAGCAACACGTCCCAGAGCAGAGGTGCAACACGAGCTACAGTTACAGCATTGTCAGTGCCACCCCAGAGACCGAGTTGAATGTTGGTGTATTCTGTCCTGGTGGATCCATTGAAAAGATTCAGATGAGGAATAATATCACCATATCTTTAAAAACATTTGGTAAAGGAATCCTCAATGAGTCTAACCATCAGGATCTGAAAATGTCTTTTGTGCCTCATATTAAAGGTAAGGTAGTGTTTTGGACTGCTTGGCTGTACAGCGTAGGATGTCTCAATACACTTATTAGAGCACATATGGGTAAATAGAAATAAGAGTTTAATTCTTTAGAGTTGAATCCTGGAGCCATTGCTGGGATCAGTCTTTATCTGAATCAGTGAGGTGGTTTATTCCTGGAAGAAGGAAGGAACTTTGTACTCCAGGTGGTGGATAGTTGGTTGTAGGAAATTCTGCAGATATAGCTGTGCTAATTGTGGTAATTACTGATGCAGGAGGGGAAAATAAGTGAGCTGTATTGCTATTACTGAGGTGCAATTGACTGTATAGAACCACAGAATGGTTTGGGTTGGAAAGGACCTTAAAGCTCACCCAGTTCCAAGCCCCTGCTGTGGACAGGGACATCTTTCACTAGGCCGTGTCACCCAAGGACTCTGTCCAACACTGAGCACTGCCAGGGGTGGAGCATTCACCACTTCTTTGGATAACCTGTGCCAGCGCCTCAGCACCCTCAGAGGGAAGAACTTCTGCCTTAGATCTAACCTGAACTTCCCCTGTTTCAGTTTGAACCCATCACCCCTTGTCCTATTTCTACAATTCCTGATGAAGAGTCCCTCTCTGGCATCCTTGTAGCCCCCTTCAGACACTGGAAGCTGCTCTGAGGTCTCCACGCAGCTTCTCTTCTCCAGGCTGAACAGCCCCAATGTTCTCAGCCTGTCTTTGTATGGGAGGTGCTCCAGCCCCCGATCATCCTTGTGGCCTCTCCAACAGCTCCATGTCCCTCATGTTGAGGACACCAGAACTAAATTTTCATTCCTTTATTCTTTTCCTTTACTACAGATGAGTGCACCTTCACTGTGAGTCCAGATCCAAAAGCCAAAGTTTACTTGCAGACTCCCAACTGGCCTTATGGTCTCCCTCCTTATGTCTCCATATCCTGGTACGTCCTTGTGCCCAGCAAGCAAGTTGCCCGCCTCGGGTTCTCCAAGGACCGCATGGGCATTGTGTGTGAGACAGGCCGTGCCTATGTCAACATAAAGGAAGAGACATCAGGGGCAGAGGAGATCGTGCGCCGTGAGGATGAACTGCTGCCCCAGCCCCGAAATATGTATCACAACTTCTGGGTCAACATCTCAAACTGTAAACCTGTGGAGAGGACGCAGCTGACCTTGCAGTTCCAGGTGACTTCTGCTGACAAGCAGATAGGTGAGTCCTCAGAAGCTGTGGTGGTTTGCTTTCTGCTTGTTTCCTGGCTTTCCCTCAGGGAAAGTAATGGATGCTGGTCCTTCTTGGGTTGAGGTTCATGAGAGCTCTGCCTTTGGAGATCCTGTCCCTGAGAAACCTGAGTTACAGCTGGGTACTTCTAGAAGCTGGGGAGGAAGGAAGAGTTTTATGTTTCTTTCTGTGGGGTTTGGGGTGTTTTTTAGGAGCTGGGGTGTTGCAGTGCTTGGGGGAGTAAGACTAGGTTTTATTTCATTTTGATTTAATTTAGCTTTTTTAATTGGAGATCACAGCCAAAACGTGTAAGATCAAGTGATATTTTTCTCTCCCAGCATCACGAACCTGACTCATAACTTGGGATTTGCTTATGCAAACTTATTCATTCAAGTGGTCTTCATGGTAGCAGTTCAATTAATCTCAGTGTTCACATGAGCAAGAAATCAGCCCTGTGACAGGTCTGACCATTTAGTGGAGAGTATCCTGATTACCTTCAGCAAAATCTGCATTCTTGATGTCTTTCATGTCCCTGAAGCATCAATAGTTTTATAAAAAGCAGGGGTTAGGTGCATTTTTTAGGGTAGACTTTGCTTGTGCAAATTTGCTTCACATATGTATTTGCTCTTCGCTTATGGGAGACTGCTGTCTGTAGAAGTATTGGCTACACAGAGTAGAACTGAAACAGAATGAAATTAAGGTATATTATTTTCCCTCTTTGGTAATGTATACTACCTGTAAAACACACAGCATTTTTTTTTTTGCTCACACATGGAATTTCCTGATCAATTTTATGACTCCTGGAACACCCCAGGTCAACACAACTTCTGTATTTCAGAGGAAGGGATGACATTGAGGGGAGCTTGGTGAAATGTCACTCTTTGCTCTATTGAATCCCTCTGTCTCTCTGAACTTTCTTCTCTTCCCTTATTCAACCAGAGGCATGTGAGGTAAGTTTAGCAGCACATGAGCTGTATTGAACTCTTGGGGTGGGTTGGTTGGGGTTTTCATTTGCACTCTGCTGCTTGTAGTAGGAGTTTTGTCATTGTTTAGCCTCCAACCTCTTGGTCATGGCTTGTGTTGCCCCATAGTGAGGACGGCTGGGAAACTCCTGCTCTGCTTCCAGTTGAACTCCAGAGGAGGTTCCAACCCAGACAGCTTTTAGGAGAAAGCTGGATGTTTTCCCTCTCTTTCTCAGTGTCCTTGTACTTTGTCTGTTTGCAGACCTAGGAGTGATACTTGCTGTGGTGGCCGGGGCTGGAGTTCTCATGGCTATTGGACTGACCGTGTGCTGTGTTAAGAAGAAGTAAGTTCATAATTTGGCATGTGTCACTCAGCAGTTCAAGAAGGCATTCTGGGAGAGCTGCTGGGCCATCTGTTCCACGTGTTGTACAGATCCCTTGAACAAGGGTCTGAAGCATAATGTAGACAACAGTGGCAGAAGTAGTGCAACTCCAGGAATGCTGCTTTACTCTAAATTGACTGACTTTGAATAGAGCAGCAATCCTGGAGTCACATTACTTCAACACTCAGTGCATTGCCTATTTTGGCCTTAGCACAGGCTTCTGGCTGCACTGTAAGGCATTGGTTAGACTTCAACAGCAATTCCTGTGAAATGAAGTTGCAGTGAATGTGGCTGCTGTACGTGTACATAGACAAGACTTCAAACAAGCTGTGATTAAACTAGGAGCTATCTTTCATCTACACAACCTCCAGCAACTTCTCCTGGAGTTTGCACATCAAGTGGGAACATTTTTCTATGAGATGAGCCCTTAGGGAGAGAACTAGGTTGTGCAAAGCAAACATGCATAGCATTACTCATGCAAGCAGAACCTGAAGTCGTCGATAGCTTGGCGTTTCTGATACATGTATGCTTCGTGCTGGCAGTGTGATGGGGTCTGAAGCTATAGAGCTGGAATAAATTTGTGCAGTATGATGACTAGACCAGTTATAAGGACACTTCTTTGCCACACAAATACAGGCCTCAATCTTCAGGTCAGCCTTTGGTCTTCCCACTTTGGGAACAGTCACTCCAGAAAGTGAAACCAAGAAGTTAATTCAGTTTTCCTAGAGGACCCATTGTCTTACTTATCTTCAGTAATGCTCAGTCTTGTTTCATGAGGATCTGATGGCCTCTAGATCCTGTTTGTGGACATTGGGAGACTCTTTACATGGCACAGCTAGGACCACCATGCTTGGATGGCTGTTGGAGTTCATCTTACAACTGTCAGGGTCAGCAAAGCAGCAGTTAGGTAACCGAACAGTATAAGTTATTAAATACAATAATAACTATTATTAACAGTAAAGTTATTTTCTGCTCTGTTAAAAAAGCATGTCTAGACTCAAGAGTTATTCTTAAGACTGCAAGTAAAGCCTTCAATCCAGGTGGACTGGGTGGCTGGGATGAGTAAACAGAAGCTGTTGTTATCCACTGAGTCCGAACTCACCAGCCATGTGCTGTTTGTGACATGTTAACAATTAAACTCTCTAACAGGAAGAAGAAAAGCCAGGATCCCATGGTGGGAGTGTACAATCCTAATGTGAATACCCAGATGCCTGGAAAACAAGGCTTATTCACAAAAGGGAGGAAAAACAACGAATCTCATGTCTATGCAGTTATTGATGATGCTATGGTCTATGGGCACTTGCTGAAGGAATCCAATGGCTCAGTCAGTCCAGAAGTTGATGTGTACCGGCCTTTTGATGGACCCATTGGTAGCTTGCCACCTTCTCCACCTCCATTTTCCTTCAGAAAAGACATTAAATGCTCTTCTAACACCGAGGACCCTTCACCTCTGACAGGCACGGACCATGACACTTACATGTTTGCTCATCAGCAATCAGGGCAATCAGAGGACAATGGAGATACAAATGAAGAGAAGAATGGAGAAACCAGCACATCCTTGCTGGAAAACAAGGAACAGGATGGTTCAGAGGAGTAATTTTACACCAGGTATAGCAGTTTCCTGTGGAAATCCAGGTGTAAGCACAGGGGTCTAGGGAAAAAAAACCTGAAGAGGAGTGTTATTTTTAAAAGTGTGTTGGTGGTGTTTTGATTTTTGTGTGTGTGTATTCGGTTGTTGTTTGTTTTTAAACTTCAGCTGTTGATAGCTTTCAGTTTTAGAGTGAACATCTATCAGACTCCAAACCAGTCGAGACACTCCAGGACTGCATGTGCTTCTGATGGTGAAACGGGTGGCAAAGGTACGCTCCTGCTTTTTACTACAAAGAAAATGAATCCCTAACTGCCATCTTAAAACTGTGGCAATTAATGAAGTTGGGAGAGTGTTTTGTCCAGTATTTTCCCTCTCTCACAAGTCATTTGTTCCTGAGTGTTGGTTGGTGACTCTTGGAAGTTATACAGTACATCACTGTCTCAAGGCAGCTCTAGGTTGCAGGCATCTAAGCAAAGGAGGTGACACTGTCATTTCCACCTCTTGCTGCTTGAAATTCATCATGTTTAGTGTGCAGGTGGCTATATATGTGCAGTGAAAGACTGTGTATGACACCTGGAATTGCTCTGTGTGTGTAAGTAAGTGTGAATTTTGAGCTTGGGCTCTTCTAGTTCAGAAGTACAGTTATGGGTTTTCTCTCATTTCCAGCTGATTTTGTTATACTTGTTTAGCATACACCAAAGCCTGTTTCCAGCAGGTGGTTTGTCTGAGATGCAAAGAATGAGAGTGAATCCATAAGGAAAGCCTAGATTGTTTAATTAGGGTTTTTTTTAATCAGCCTGGATTTAACAACCATGTTGAAATGATGGTGGGAACAGCTCTTGATTTCTAGTGGGACTTACACTTAGGTTGTTTAGCTGCCTTTGACAAGAACCTCTTAAACTCAGGTAAACCACAGGTCTCATTTGTAAGTGCTGTGCTTAGCATGCCACTCATGTTTCTGTGCCTTTTAAAACTTGAGGGTCACATCTTTGTGCAGGGGATTACGGGTACATGAATAAAGTTGCCTTTTACATAGAGACACCTGGCTTGTCCAGCTGTGCAGTTCCTGAGGATGTTTGCCATTCTGTATGCAGCACTAGACCTGACCTGGGAATTTCTCTCCAGATGTCGTCTTGTGGCTGTTTCTTGCCTAGTGATACACAGAGGTGCCATGAAAGTTTTAGTGTTGCATGCAGTAATGTTAAACATATAATAATGTCTAAAATGAAAATGTCCTTATTAGACACCTTACTGTTTACATGTTTTACAGTGTGGATTTTTTCCTATGTTAACTATGCTGGCATTGCAAATTGCCTATTTATTTGATCAAGTGTGTGTATTTTAAGCGTATACTATTAGACTTCTTGGACTACTATAACATTCAGTATAATGTTGTATCTGGCTCAGTTTTTTGTAGCATATAGCAAACCATGTGCCAGCTAAAAGTGCCTTTTAATTGTTTCATGTATTTTCATGCTTATGTTTATCATTTTTAATAGAGAAATATGTATTCCTAAATCTCTGGCTAATCACTGGGAATCACACATTTCAAAGTGTACTGGGTCATTTTAATGTCATTTGAGAACTGAAAAAGGTATTTCTGCAATACTGGTATCTGTTTTTCTCAGGTAACTGAATTGCCATAGCGCATTTTGATCAGAGTAGTCCAGTTGTGCATTTGTCTGCTCAATTTTTCTCACTTTTATTGAAAAGGAGTAAGTCCGTAAGAGAAATTCAGGGCTATCCTATCCCTCTGGCTCAGTTTCTGCAGTTGCTTATATGGACACGTTCCTTCTAACCAACAGAAGAAAACATAATGGAGGTCAGGCTTGCGTTCACAACATCTTCATCTTTGAAGGAAGAACATGATGCTTGTTGACTGGTGGTTTTATTTGTTCTATTTTAACTCATCGTCCAGTATGGCAGTATGAACCTTAGTCTACAGTTGTTTCCAGTCTGAGGTTGACTTTCACTGTGCTTATTTTTGGTATGTTTAGAGTAAGAGTTCAGGCACAAATCCCAGTTTGCTTTTCATTAAGTTGTGACTTAGGTTTATTTTTAATAAATAAATAAGACACAACGATACTACCAGCTGGAGCAACTAGTGCATGTCTTGTGTGTGTGTGTGTGTAAACTCAGCCTCGAATATTTTGATGTCTGTCGGTAGCTACACCAGTGATCATAGAAATGGGTTTATTTACAGAGATAAGATACTGCTGAGTGTGTGTGTCCTTTTTGTGCCATGGCCAGTGACCTGCTATTAATTGCCATTTTTACAGGCATGTGTTTAAATCACTGGGGAGAGGGGTTGTAAGATAGTTGAAGCTTTCATTTAAAGAGCTTTCATTTAAAGATAAATGGTTCATTGGCTTCTTGGCAGGGTCATGATACTGGTGATTCATTCAACTGACACATACAATTGAATCCCAAATTAATTTCTTTTTGGGGATAATAGCATAAAGGTGCATTTTATGATCAGTCCTTCAGCCCAAGAGAAACCCTTATGAAAATACGTGAAGCCCTTTTTTGTTCATACCACAGCACATCATGCCCAGTATAGAAACTGGGGAGGGGTTGTCCAGGAGCCACCGATGGCTGCTTGGGATGGGCTGAGTATCAGTCAGTGGGTGGTGAGCAATTGTGTTGTGCATCACTGTCTGTCTTGGGTTTTATTTCTCTCTCTAGCTTTCCTTCTATAATAATAACAATTTTTATTATATTTCAGTTATTAAACTGTTCTTATCTCAGCCCATGGGTTTTATCTTTTCCAATTCTTCTCGTCCCACCGGGGGGGGTGTGAAGATGCATGTAAGGCAGTGGCTGCATGGTACTTAGTTACCAGCTGGGGTTAAACCACAAAAGTATGTTTTCCCTTCATTCGTTTCCTTAAGTTAATGGGATTTTATTTAATAAGTGTTAGACCCTAAAAAGTAAGCAAAGGCATAATAGAATCTTCTAGTGTGATTATTTGGTGAACGTTTTGTAGCGTACTCTTGCAGAGTAAATAAAAGGCAGCAACCCATTAGATCTTCTTCCCTAATTTCTTTTCTTTGGATTAACAGAGAATAAGTTTCTGAATATCCTTAAATTAGCTGGCAACACAGATGAGTTCATGCCTATGTCTGATATCCCTGAAGACAATTCAGTGGTTTTCCTTGCCAGAGAAAGATCTGAGGAAAATGAGCAATTTACTAAATACTTCTGTATTCTGACACTTGATTTTGGGCTGCTCAGTTCTGTGGATCAAACTGCTACATGTTCTCCTTTAGGTTTTTGTGGCCACCCTTCTGGAAGACAGGTCCACCAACAGTGCAATGAATCTTGTTGCTACCAGCAACCTCTTTCCAAGCTATGCTTCCCAAAATTAGTAATGGCTTCACTAACATTTACCATAGGAAAAATGTCTCCATCAGTTCACACTTTGCTTTAGGTGATGACTCCATGGCTTTGTGTCCCTGAGGGACAAAACAGAGGAGCTGTTCCACTTCCTGCTGCCTCGAAGTAGGAAAACATGCTGAGAATAACACTTCTTTGCTCTTGAAGGCTCAGAGACCAATTCTAACTTTAATCTTTAAGGTGAAACTTATTCTGAGCATAGATATTTTCCTGTATGTTTCATTTGGGAGTAATTTTGCCTCATTCTGGTACTTCTTACTGTTAACAATAATGTATGTCAAACTTTGCACTGTCTCACATCACCATTGTAAGGATGCAGACACAAAAGGAGGATCCTATTTGCTGTGGCAGGAGCTGTGAATGAAGTTTTCTCTGTTCCTGGAAAAATCACAACCACCTTTCTTTCCTGCCAGCAGATAGGCAGGGTGTGCTGGGCTTTTGGGGATGGTGAGGACTAATTGTGCTGCCCCTGGTCATTCCTGAGCTAGCAGTTGCTTTTGGTGGTGTTAGTTGAAGTTGGTACCCCTCTGACTTTTGAGTCTTCACTCCTACATGTGATGTTTAGTTAAATCACTATTCTGTGTTAACCTCTATCAGCAGAATATTGTAGAGTCCCAGACTGGTTTGGGTTAGAAAGGACCTTAAAGATCATCTGGTTCCAACCCCCTGCCACGGGCAGGGACACCTTCCACTAGAGCAGGTTGCTCCAAGCCCCTGTGTCCAACCTGGCCTTGAACACTGCCAGGGATGGGGCAGTCACAGCTTCTCTGGGCACCCTGTGCCAGTGCCTCAGCACCCTCACAGGGAAGAACTTCTGCCTAAGATCTCATCTCAATCTCCCCTCTGGCAGGTTAAAGCCATTCCCCTTGGCCTGTCCCTACAGGCCCTTGTCCAAAGCCCCTCTCCAGGTTTCCTGGAGCCCCTTTAGACAATGGAGCTGCTCTGAGGTCTCCCCTTAAGAAGCCTTCTCTTCTCCAGGCTGAACCAGCCCAGCTCTCTCAGCCTGGCTCCAGAGCAGAGCTGCTCCAGCCCTCACAGCATCTTCATAGGTGGCCTCTGGACTTGCTCCAGCAGCTCCACGTCCCTCTTGTGCTGTTGCCCCAGAGCTGAAAATATCTTTAGTTAAACAGTAGGAACATGAGAGATTACTTTTGTCAACATTGATAGTGGACACTAACTGGGGCCCCTGACCCACCCTTTGGGGATTGGCCAAGAAGTTGGTCATATCTAGCTCACAGCCAGGGGGAAGGAGGGAGGGAGCAGCAGGGCATGTTTCTGCCTGGGTGCTTCATGTCATCCTTTGTCCAAATCTACTCCTGTAATAGCACTTGCTGCCATTAGTGTTGCTGTTATGCTTGCAGTTAATGTACTAACCCTGCACTGAAATTACCAGTACAGCTAATGCATGATGCTGTAATGAAAGAGGGGTGCTGAACCAAGGTTTCCAGGTGACCCCCATTGTCACTATTTCCTGCTATTTTTTTTTAAGGTCCAGAGCTTTACAGCTTTAGTGCCCTCACTTTGTGTGTGTGTGTATTGTCTTTCACTGTGCAGGATTCAAACCTGAAGTCTCATAACTGTGTTGTCTGTAGCACTCAGGTGTCCTCTGC